GACTCAGTCCAAATAAGCTGTGAGGGAGCTGGCTAGGTTCACCAAAAGTATAAAGTATTACCAACTTAGTGGAATTAATCCTGCTAATGTGACATTATGTAAGGGGTCTTTCTTATCTGCTTTCCTCCATTTGGGGGCACAATTTAGTTGCAATACTAGCATCTGCTAAATACAAATATTGTTCTATGATAATAACGTGAGGGTTTTTTTTTCTTTAAGTTTTTGAACTTAAGAGTTTTATAAAAGTGAACAAAGTTTGCTTCACCTGATTTTCATCTCCTCCTCATCCCCTTGGCTCATTTCTTCTCAATTCTGTGACCTCTGAGCTTCGGAGGAGTCTATTCACCAACCTCTTGTCTTCTCTCTATATATTCATTCCCAAAGTGATGTTACCCAGTCTTTAATTGGATAACATTTTGATTCCAACAACTCTCAAGGTTTTGTCTCAGCCCCTAATGTCTACTGGCCTCCAAACTCATATAACTAACTGCCTTGACCTCAACACTGGTATGTCTCATAGACACCTCAAATTCAGCATGCCCAAAACCAAACTCCTGGTCCTCCTGTCTTTCAAACCTGCTCTCTCATGGTTTCTCATGTCTGGGGAAATGGCACACATACCCTTGCTTGTAGTTTCTCAGTCTGTGAACCTTGGGACCATGTTTGACTCCCCCCTTTTTCTCTCGTACCTCACATCATACCCATCACCATACGTCTGAAATACAGGGTGGCTACCAGGTCTTATCAACTGATACTACAATTCAGTACCCAATATAATAACATTATGTTTCTAGACTTTATGATCACCCTATATGTTCAGAAACCAACCACTTTTCAACCACCTCCACCAACCTGCTCTAAGCCACTGCCATCTCTTACTGGACTGTGGCAGTTGCTTTCTAATTAGTCTCCCTGCTTCTCTTCTTGCTCCCTTATAATCTAATTTCAACAGAAGAGTTGCAGCTATCCTTGTAACTCTTAAAACCCAAGTCAGAGCATATCACTTCCCAGTTCAAAATCTTCTGTTGGCTCCCATTTCACTCAGAATAAAATCCAAAGGCCTTTCGGAGCAGAGAGAAAGAGAAGGAGGGAGGGGCTGGGGAGAAAGGAAGAGCAGAGAGAGGGAAGGAGGGAGGGCAGTGGGATCTCAGTGTGTGACACATCTTGTACCCTCAATGAATCCCCAACTATTAAAAAAAAAAAAATAAATCCAAAGGCCTTGCCATGGTGAGGAAGGCCTTATGTGTTTGGCTCCCTCTCTGACCTCCATCCCAACTCTTCTCTCCCTTCCTCACAGTATCAAGTGCACTCCCATCTCAAGGCTTTGCACCTGCTATCCCAATACCTTCAGAAGCTATTTCCCTGGATACCCACCAGGCTCGTTTGCTCACTTCATTCTGGACTTTGCACAAGTGTCCTTTCATTTCACAACATAAAATCACAACCCCTGTCTCAGCCACATTTTGTATGCCCCCTGAGACATTTTATTTTTCTCCATGACACTATAAGCGTTTCTCCCTTAATCAGAATGTAAGGTCCAAAAGAACAAAGACTATCTTTAGTTCACTGACACATTCCCAGTCCCTAGAACAGGCCTATCAGAGTAGGTGCTCAGATTTTATTTGTTGAATGAATGAAAAGAAAATGTCTGTATCACACTATAAAATCAGAAGTACATATCTTACCATAAAGTTCAAGTAACCATAATTATATATAAGAAGTTCAGATGTTAACAAATATCCTTCCATGGAATGGCTAGAAATTTTTAAACAAAATTTCTCCATTGTGGCAAGGTAAGATTTCACATTATCCCCGAATCCTTCTAATCTTGCTGCTGTTTTGCCGAGTATCCCGTCATGGTGAGGACTGCAGTGCTGGCATTCTCATATTAGGGTCTGTATTCTCAGGTTCTGCCTTTGCACTCATTCAATTACAGAGCTGTCAAGTAGCCTTGCTTCCCTCCCACTGTGCTCTGTAACAGTTTGTCAATCAGTTCTTACTACCAAAATAACTTCTTTGGGAGATTTTCCTCTTCTCCCTCTGCCTCTTGCTTGTAAAGGGAGGGGATTATATTCTCACCCGTGTGTAGTCCCCTGTGGGAAGGTAGCTTCGTCCTTCGGGTACAAGCTGAAAATACCATGGTACTTCCTATATACCATAATTTAACACTTCCCAGCCATGGAACTGTAAGAGTTTACTGTTTAAGCACTTTAAAACCACTGAGTTGGGAGCAATTGAAGAGAAAGAACCGTGGCCAGAGGATTTTAGTGTTTGAAAACTTGCCGATGGTGCTGTTCCATGTAATGATGGAATCCAAGAAGTTCCTTGCACTGAGAAGGCTGATGAATTCAAAGGCCAATGGGGAGATGCTATTGGTTTTCTGGTTTGGGATTTTGTTTGGTTGATTGGTTGGTTGATTGGTTTTGTTTTTTGAGACAGTCTCACTTCATTGTGCTGGGTGTCATAGCTCATAGCAGCCTCAATCTCTTGGGCTTAAGGGATCTTCTTGGTTCAGTCTCCCAAATACTTGGGACTACAGGCACCTGCCATAATGCCCAGCTTGTTTTTGCTATTTATAATAGAGACAAAGTCTTGCTTTTGTTTAGGCTAGTCTCCCAACTCCTAAGCTCAAGCAATCTGCCTGCCTCAGCCTTCCAGAGTGCTAGGATTATAGGTGTGAGTCACCATGCCCCACCGATATGCTATTGTTTTAAAATCAGTAACATATTGCTATTTTTTAATTTTTATGTCTATAACATGTGGAAATAATGAAGATCTTATTCAGCTATAACTTGGACTTAAGGCATTTTAACAAATTTGCGTTAATAAAAGCCCATTATTAAGGAGTCAAGAGGCTCGGTGCCTGTGGCTCAAGTGGCTAAGGCGCCAGTCACATATACCTAAGGTGGCGGGTTCGAATCCAGCCCAGGCCTGCCAAACAACAATGATGGCTGCAACCAAGAAATAGCCTGGGCGTTGTCACAGGCGCCTGTGGTCCCAGCTACTTGGGAGGCTGAGGCAGGAGACTCGCTTAAGCCCAGGAGTTGGAGGTTGCTGTGAGCTGTGATGCCACTGTATTCTACCCAGAGGGACAGCTTGAGGCTCTATCTCAAAAAAAAAAAAAAGGAGTCAAGAGAGGTAGCAAATTATTTTCTTTAACTCATCTATTATTTACTGAGCATCTTCTATCACCAAAGTACTCTACTGATTCAATGCCAGATTCTTTTCTATTTTAACAAAAATGTTGAGTAATTATAACCAAACAAAAGGTTTTAAAAAGGAAAGTAAGTTTTGAGCAAGATTTAGAAATAAAGGGGCAAAGAGATAGAAAAGGATGCCATTTCACATTTCAGAATAAGTTTAAATTTTTTTTTTCTTTTTGAGACAGTCTTGCTCTATCACCTGGGCTAGACTGCAGTGGTGTCATCCTAGCTCACTACAAACCCAGGCTCCTGGGCTCAAGCCATCTCCTGCCTCAGCCTCCCAAGTGGCTGAGATTACATGCACCTGCCACCATACCTCACAAAATTTTCTGGGGTTTGCAGAGACAGAGTCTTGCTCTTGAACTGCTGGGCTTAAGTGACCCTCCTGCCTCAGATTCCCAGAGTGTTAGGATTATTGGTGTGAGCCACCATGTCTGGCCTAAGCTTAAATTTTAGAAGCCTTAAATTAAGCCTTAAATGGCACCCTCCTTGGCTCAGTGCCTGTATGTACCTCAACCGGCTAAGGCACCAGCCATATACACCAGAGCTAGCAGGTTTGAATCCAGCCCAGGCCTGCCAAACAACAATGACAACTACAACCAAAAAATAGCCAGGGATTGTGGCAGGCACCTCTAATCCCAGGTACTTGGGAGGCTGAGGCAAGAGAATCGCTTAAGCCCAGGAGTTGGAGGTTGCTGTGAGCTGTGATGCCACAGCACTCTACTCAGGGTGACAACTTGAGGGTCTATCTCAAAAAAAAAAAAAAAAAAAAAACACCCTCCTTGGCATTCCAGGGATTAATGCTAGGAATGTCCCTGTGAGCTAGCATTTCCCTCTTCATCTTGAGGCCAGTCCCAAAACTCTGAATGATGCTACTTAGCAAGTAGCAACGTCTCTAAATTTCTGCAAAAGATGCAACGTTGGCAATCCTCTCTCTAACGAGACCAAAGAGAAAGGAAGAGGCTTTCACAGCTGGGGGAGGGGAAGGGTGAGTTATAAATCTGAACTAAGGAAGTCAAAGATGACAAAACTCAAGGTCAGGGAAAAATTTTAAAGGGTGTCCAACCCATAGCCCTCAGGCCACATGTGGATTATGGTGAGGACATTTTTGCTTATCTGTGGTGGTGGGTATCACAAGATTATGCATGGACCTTTTATTTTTTGCTCATCAGCTTTTGTTAGTGTTTGTGTATTTAATGTGTGACCCAAGACAACTCTTCTTCTTCCAATGTGGCACAGAGAAGCCAAAAGGTTAGACACTCCTTCAACTCGCTAAGGAGAAAATGAAGTCTCAAAAATCTAAGGAAATGGTCTCAGCTCCTGCTGGACTGTGGCGACCCTAGGATTAGAACTCCTCGCAGAGCTTCTCTTCTTTTTTGTTGTCGTTGTCAAAAGTAACATGATGGGCCAGGATAATATTACAGGCTGAGGGCACTAAGAGAACATTTTCCCTGGAATTTTAACATTGTGAGTGATTAATGATAGTCTTAAATACGTTCTTCCAAGAAGCCCTAAGATTTCTCTGGATACATGAATATATTAAAAGAAAATGAGGGTCTTCCATAGCATCAGCTTGCTGGTAGGCCATATCTAGGATTAGAAATTTTCTTATGTGAACATAAGTGTTTAGGGGGGATATTGTTAAAACTGAAACTGAACATAAAGAAGCAAAAGTGTTCCCTCGAACCTCCTGCATTTTAGTTCAACTCTGGCAGCAAAAAAACAAAACCACACAATCTAAGGCTCACGCCCAAGTCTCTGAAGCCCTCTGTGTGTGCTAGTTCCTGTGTGGTTTGCCTACAGACTGCTGGGCTGCCGGGGGTAGTCTGGAGGAAGGAGTGAGGTGGGGAGGAGGCACTGCTAATGGATCTGTAAGCACCCTCTCTCAGTGTGGTACTTGGAAGACGGCGCAAGGTGGATCTATACTCTGAAATACAGTACGTTTGATAGTTGAACTCATCTTCCTTCTTGCGAAAGAAGAGTCTGATAACTCAGTGCCAAAGCCAAGACATAAACTCAACCTCTTCGCTTCCAAAAGGTATGTCATTATACATCAGTCCACATGCTCTTAGAAACCTTGAACTGTTTTATAATTTGCGGAATGTTCTTTGTGAGTCAACTCTAATTCAAATGAATCTTATGGGCTTTCTAAATATTGCTTTTAATACTTCAGTCCCATCAGTTAAAGTCTGTAAATCTTTTGCTATGACAATGTTTGTGGTGATAGGATTCAAATTCTATGAAACAAACCTGTTCCTTACTCAGTCCATACACACAAAAAAAACTCCACTATTTGGGTTTATTGCCATCTCAGCAAAAGACTTTAGACCTTAGGGTCACAAAGGTAAAATTCCACTTCACCATAGCCAGCATTTAGTCCAAATTGGGTGGATATGCTGTTGCAGCACTGGAGGGCTGAGCAGCAATGAATGAGCCCCAGGGCTCCAGGGTCAGGATTTCTCTCTTTTGTTCAAATTTCTATTCCAGTAGTATTCTTGTTACCTTTACAAAAAATGCTAGTTTGGGTTACTTTACAATAAGAAAAAGAAAAACACCTTTTTGTTGAAATGTATTTTGAGAGGGTATTGTCTATCTTTGTGACTTTATTAATAGTTAAGCTATTTCCATCTCTATGGCTCTCTCTACTTTAGGCATCCGATCTGAAGATAACTCCTTTGTGCTCTTTGTCCCAGCTGCTCCTGAACAAGAGAATTGAATATACCACCAAAGATCTGATTTCACTAACTTAAAAATTATTGTATTTACATACCTGGAATCAGGTGTTGGTATATGTAACTTAATTGGCCCATAATTGAAAATATACATCCCTCGACAAATTAAGAGAAGGGAAGATGTATAGAATCTAAAACACCAATGGGAAAAATGTCACACACTCAGGTTATATTATCTGAGGGTGGGAATCTTCAGGTTGAAGAATCTTTTGTTCTGTGCAACTACATTTATCATAAACTGTTTAGTTCTTTAGTGGGTCCCTTTGTTTTTTTTTCTTTTGATTTCAGAAAGAACATTTTGTATAAGTTACTCTAACAACGCAGTATTGTATATAAAACTTCATATTTATAAAATAATTTTATAGTGACCCTATTTACATCCCCTATTAAATAACATTATGTAAATGCAGGCTGTCCCAATAGTTGCCTCTAAAGTCACCATACATAGGGAAAAGGGGAAAATTTAGCTAAATATGTCTTTATTTACAAAATAGTCATTACAAAATTTTTCAAAGAGGTAGTCAACACATAAAAATATATATATATATATATATTTTTTTTTTTTTTTGGCCAGGGCTGGGTTTGAACCTGCCACCTCCAGCATATGGGGCCGGCGCCCTACCCTTTTGAGCCACAGGCACCTCCCACATAAAGAATATTTTGTAAATTTTTGTGATGAAGACTTTGTAAGTAAAGGTACACTTAGTAGAGAACTACCTAAGTGCATTTGAATTTCAAGTTCTTTAAAAATCTGATTTGTACCCTTTTGGAGAACTTTTTTGGCTTTTTTCATAGATGAGAGACAACCCTATATTACTAAATAAAACTACCTTTCTAGATTGAACTTTGAATGTCTCTCATATAGTAAACTGAAATATTATTCCCTCTGAATTGTAATAGACTCTATCTTTTTTAAAATGACTTTACTGAAGCAGAGAGGAAGTGATCGATCTGCTCAAGATGAGGAAATATCTCTGTTGCTAATATAATATCCTTTTGAATATCTTCCACATCTTAGGCCCTGATGAAAATCCCTTTTCTTTTTTAATTTCAATTGTTCTATATCTACCTCACAGGGATATTGTGAGAATAAATGAGTTGACATAGATATGAAGTGCCTGAAAAAAGCACTATGAAAATGTCAGGTGTTCTCATTATTAATTATTTCTTTGAATCTGATCATTTTCTTCCCACCTCTTACACAAAATGTATCTCACTTACTGCCTAAAGCCATCTATTTTAGAACCATTGCCTTCAGGAAGAGTTAAAAAGGATCCTAGTTCCCACCTATTTATTGATTCCCGTAAGAATAACGCCTGCTGACCTTGGTGACTTGTAGGGTTCATGTCTAAACTTGAGGAGAAGTGCCTCTTTTCCTGGATCAAGAAAAGCCTTCAATTGTTCAGAAATGTATCATTAAGTATGATTTCATCAGGATTCTTAAATAACTAATAGTTGCTGCTGAGTTAATCCTAGGAACGGATTCTTAGTTTTTGCATCTACATTAAACAAACTCAAAACTTTTTCAAGAATCTTCATGACCTTAGTTGTTTGAATCAAAGGATAGAGTTGATTATCCTACAGCATTTCACCCATCAGAAGTATTTGCTTGATTCCTAAAGGAATAACGCATCCTTATGTGTCTCTGCCCATCCACCCTTTTGGCACTTGACAATTCTCAAAAAAGCATAGCCTTGTTTATCGATATACACATTTTACAAACATTTATTAAGCAATCACTATGTGCAGGCCCCTATCTGAGGCACTGAGCTCCCTTTAACAGTGTTCACATTAGGTTTCAATAAACCTGCGCCAAATAGGAATTCAGTAAATAACTTTTAAAGATAGTTTTTGTTTTAAATATGCACTTATTGACAAAAGTTTTAGAGAATTAAAAGAAACTATTACAAAGTTCATGCTGATAAAAGTCTCACATGCTTTCCAAAGAAGATATATTGAGACATGTATCTTATGAAGAAAGTGAAGACAATATCCAACAGAAAGTTGAAATATTAGAACTTACCACCTAGGCAACTATTTGCCGTAGTTGCTCCCTCTATATGTATTTTTTTCTGAATCACTTGTAAGTTGCAGATAAAATGACATTTCACCCTTATACAATTCAATATACCTCTAAGGATAAGGACATTCTCCTATATATAATCACAATGCCATTATTGTGCCTAAGAAGGTGAATAGTAATTCTTAAATACCATCTAATATCTAGTCCATATTTAATCCTCCTCATTTGTGTCCAAACATCTTCTAGACCATTAAAAAAAAAGACTCTAATTTTAAAAAATAAAAAATATTTTTTTTGCTGGATTTTATATCTCTTTATTCAACATTGGATTTTTTTTTAGAGATAGAGTCTCACTATGTCAGCCGGTTCCTAGGCTGGAGCTCAGTTTGTATGGTCATAGCTCACTGCAGCCTTGAACTCCTGAGCTCCTGCAATCAATCCTCTTGCCTCAGGCTCCCGAGTAGCTGGGACTATGGGAGAATACCACCATGACCCACTAATTTTTCTCTTTTTGTACTTTTTAGTAGAGATGGGGTATTGAATATTGCCCAGGCTGGTCGCAAACTCCTGGCCTCAAGTGATCCTCCTGCCTCTGCCACCTGAAGTGCTAAGATAACAGACATGAGCCAACGTCTGGCCAACATCAGATTTTTTTAATGATTGGGCCAGTTATCTTGCAGAATGTTCCATATTCCAGACTTGTTGCCTTTTGGTTAATTTGTTCCTCTACCCCCATATTTCCTATAAACTCCAAGTTAGGAATAAAGTCAGGATTAGGTTGACTGAACTTTTTTTTTTTTTGAGACAGAGTCGAACTATGTCATGCTAGGTAGAATGCTGTGGCATCACAGCTCACAGCAACTTCAAACTCTTGGGCTTAAGTGATTCTCTTGCCTCAGCCTCCCAAGTAGCTGGGACTATAGGCACCCACCACAATGCCTGGCTATTTTTCTGTTGTAGTTGTCATTGTTGCTTAGCTGGCCCAGGCTGGGTTCGAACCTGCCGCTTCCATGTATGCGGCTGGCTCCATAACCACTTGGCTACAGGTGCCGAGCCTGACTGAACATTTTTTACAAGGTGCCACTGGGTGTTCCATATTGTATCTTGAGACACAGAAGGCCAAGTTGTTCCAATACTTGTATGCCAAGTATCACCTTGACTCAAGGTAGTGATCTTGTTCTGCAATTAGCACATAGTCTGAAGGAGTGACACTTTGGCACTGTGGTAACATCCTATTTCTCAGTGAACATTCAATCATTGATTTTAGGTGACAATCCTTGCCTTAATCGATTACTCCATTGGGGAGTTCATACATATTTTAAAGACACTTTGAAGATAGATTAGACATGCACATTCTTCACTATCTGCAGCAGCAACGGCAGCTATAAATATTTATTGAGTGTGTAAGTTCATGTAATAATAGTATTAATAAAGATAGGTAACATTTACTGAATACTCGCTGTGGAGGCTGACAGTCTAGGTTTGGGCCCAGTCCTTTACTTACTAAACAAATGAGTTATTCAGTCTTTTCTGTGTATTTTAGTTTCTTTTCTTTCTTTCTTTTCTTTTTTTTTTTTTCGAGATAGAGTCTCACTGTCGTCTTTGGTAGAACGCTGTCACGTCACAGCTCACAGCAACCTCCAACTCCTGGGTTTACGCGATCCTCTTGCCTCAGCCTCCCAAGTAGCTGGGACTACAGGCGCCTGCCACAACTGGCTATTTTTTGTTGTTGTTGCAGTTGTCATTGTTGTTTAGCTGGCCTAGGTCAGGTTCCAAACCACCAGCCTTGGTGTATGTGGCTGGTGCCGTAACCAATGTGCTACAGGCACCAAGCCTGTGTTTCAATTTCTTAAGCTATAAAATGAAATAAATAGTACCTGTCTTATAGGATTGTTTTGAAGACTCAATAATTTACACATGTAAAATTCCTAAAACAGTGTTCTGTTGTTATTATTGCCAAGCATTGTCCCAGTACTTTGCAGGCGTTAACTCATTTATTTCTCCTAATGGTACAGTGAAGAAAGTGCTAATCTTATCCTTCTTTCACAAATGAGGAACCTGAGGTACAGAAACGTTAAATATCCTGCACAGCTCACTTAACCAGACTGTGGGAGAGCCAGGATTTAAACCCAGGTAGTCTGATTCCAGGGCACTCTCAGAATACAAATGGCACATACAAACACACACACCCCAGATCCAAAGTCACTGACAGTCTGGGAGCACGTTTTGAGTTTGACACATGTGAATTAGAATAGCATTCCACTAAGCATAGATAATACCCTT